AGTGAAACAACGCTTTCGTTGTCTGAGTGAGGTTAGCGGAGGCCCAATTAACCTTTTTCCCAATTTCCCAATTATCTTACAAAGTAAAGCGCGCAACGCACTTGTAACACGGGTGTAGCGAGTGCCCATGGGCGACGCCGATTGCTTTCCATCAGGTCATCCATCTGCTCGTGTACGGGCTTATCTCATAAGGCCGTGCGCTGCGTTAGGCGTGCTCACGGGCGGGCGCCCGCATTATCATGTAATCTCAACGATCAGCACTGCATGCAGCGGGTCGCCCGTCGCACACTGCTATATGAGATTACAAGAAACAGCACGCCTCGCGCCCGCGCCATGAGCACGACTAACGCAGCGCACGGCCTTTTTTTTTTGAGGGGGGAAAATCATCCAATGACTTCTCCCGCCCGGGTGAGGCGGGAGGGAGTGTCAGACTCTTACTCACTAAAAACCACCCCGTTCCTACTCCTGCACTTCAAGCCGGAGCCCCGGCAACCCGTTAAGTCTTCCGCGGTATCGGCATCAGCCCTGTTAGGCACCATCTGTGGTGGTCTGATGGCTCCTTGAGGCGCGCGCGGAACGCGACGCGCCGTACGCTCGGGCCTGGTTCTGGTCGAGCGGCGAGTCACCCATGCTCGCCGTCCGCAGGCCCGTGCTTACGGTGGCCGGAGATCGTCTCGCGATCCCCGACGCCCGGAGTGTCTCTCGCGACGGCCGGGTCGTGAGGAGGTTCGTTCTCTCACGCGCTCCGCCTCCTCCTTAGCTAGCATGACTGCTTCGCAGAAGGAGGAGACGGCATCCCAGTCCCCCTCGCTCCGTACCATGGCAGCGCACGGCCTAAAACAACTTTCACAACACAAGCGAAGCGGCGGGTAGTAATAAGTACAATAAATAAAACAAAAAACTAGTTATTGCCAAATTGGTGTTTACTCTTAAAGTACTTACAAATATCTTAAACTAAACAAAATAACGACAAAGAAATATATGACTTACATACATTACAATTAGGATCAATTTACACTAGCGCAGAGTCGAAGTGTTTTTCCAAAACTGAACATAACAAATTCAACCTTAACTCCACAGTATAACGCACATATTACTGTTTCTTTGTCCAATAGGGAATTAGCTAGTGTTTTATTTTTATTATATTTGATGGGCCGACGTTTGCCCACTATCTCGACTGGTGGTAACCGATGATGCGGACTACGATGGAGCACGTCGTCCCATAAGCAACCTATTCACTCGGGCCTTGAAGACACCCAGGTTATAGGTACCCTCCAGGAAATACAGACTCTAGGAAAGAATTCCATTCCTTAAAACTAAGCACATGGAAGCCGCACCCGGCACACTCCGAAAAGTATTCGGTAGAAAACAAATGGACGTTCAATATTCGACACCAGCTGTGATTGGACGAAAAATGCTTCTCGGAAAGACGCTTCGACCCAGCGCTAGTTAAACAACCCTTAATATAATTAAAGAAAAAATAATCAAACATCAACTGAAAAATGTCCGTTTTCATCAAGCTCCCCTAAGTTAAGTCACTTAGCGTTAGGAATCACCTAAACTAACTTATTTGTACTGTTAGGTGTCACTTACAGCTTTTTTTATGGAATAGGAGGCAAATGAGTAGACGTATCACCTGATGGTAAGCGATCAGCGACACCCGCAACACCAGAGGAGTCACAGGTGCGTTGCCGGCCTTTTAAAAAGGAATACGCTCTTTTCTTGAAGGTTTGAAGGTCGTATCGGTTCGGAAATACCGCCGACGACAGATCATTACATAGTTTTGCTGTGCGAGGCAGAAAGCTACAGAGAGCAGCTTGAGACAAAACTTACATTAAGCCAATGGATACAAGAGGGCACAATGTCCTGTGACACATATCGCCAGCGACTTTGGATGAAGCAGCTCGTCGTCACCTTGGACCTGTGTCGCGCGATGTTGCCAGACATCTCGACCGAAGTCCGCCAACGTGTCGTGCTACTTCACCCAACGTCGCTGGCGATACGTGAGCACGGCATTTGTCCCTTATCATTATATTAATCTTAGTTTAGAGATTTTTCTAAATTTAGAAGTTTGGTAAAAACGGTCATTAGAAGAACATAATATTATGGTATCATGTAGGCAACAATTATTTGCTTTTGCGCACAAAATAGCCAGTATTAAAACCTATATGTAGATTTGCTTACTGAGATAAAATTTTCACACATTTTGTATGGAACATAATGGTTTTTCAACGTCAGATAAATTCTATTTTAACTAAGGAACAACTTCTGAATATTTGACAATTGGGTAGTTTCCAGGGTATCAAAATTACAAATCTAATTAGTCCGTAAGTTAGATAATGAAAAAATATTAGACACGTATTTTTTATTTTCTCGTATTAAGTTGCAATACTTAGATAAAATGGCGCTAAGTTTAGGAGTGGGTCTTTACGTCATAACGTGCTACAAAATGTGCCACGCTGTGACGTCACACGATATTTCAAATTATTATATCGTCGAAAGTATTTAATTTTGTGAGAAAAGAAATTAAATTAATGTACCAGACGGATATTAAAAATAAAATTTAGGAAACTACCCTATTCTTCCATACTAAAAGAGACTGTCAAATGTCAATTTTTTTCTACAGTTAAGATTTAACTGTAGATTGAAGAATCGGCCTTTATTCACGTGTATATACTGAGAAAAGCTCTACTAGTTTCAGAGCCCTCGAGAGACAATTACCCATGAGGAATTTAGTAGACTTCGCGACATCGCCGCGACTGCGCACGCTGCTCATGAGGAGTTCCTCTATGACTCGAAACTAGCTGATTTTTCCGAGTGTCAAGCACTTATAACTATCGCATGGGTAACGTAATAGTATCGAGGTTCGACGTTTTGATTGGTTGGTTCACTGAAGCCGGCCAATCAGAGCGCCGAACACGCTCGAGTATGTTCACTACAGTAAACCGATATTGTTTAGTTAATTCAGTATCTTTAGTTAGCAAATCTACAGATAGAGTATCAAAACCGATCTGTCATGTTAAACTTCCACGTAATAAATAATCAAACTGAAATGTATTACCGATTACAACTTTAAATTTGTCAAAAAACATACTTACAAACAAAGATATAAAGATCAAAATTGCATTACTTAACAGTAACTTTATAAAGGTTTTTATTCAGTGAAAAATTGCGTAAGAATTTTTGCTTATTATTATACCTATTACATTAGATGCACGCAAACATTGACAATTGCGAAGAATGTTCTTCTAAAGTGACGCTAGATGGCAGTAGTATCGTTGTCTTATAGGTTCTTAAAAAATATATGGTATGTGAGACCTGAAACCCTCTATGGAATCTTACTAATATTATAAATGCGAAAGTTCGTGTGTTTTTTACGCTATCACGTCAAAACGACTGAAGGAATCGGGATCAAATTTGGTACATAGATAGATCATGGTCTGGAATAACAAAAGCTGTTGGTATACCTATTTAAATAAAATAAATAACGCGTAGGTTATTTATTGTCCCATGGAAGCGCGGGCGAAACCGCTGGTAGAAGCTATTAGTTAATAAATGATGAAGTATTTTTTTAATATTGTTATTAACTATCGTAGTCAAAGTATGCCCATTAGGTCAAATATCTTTATTAATTAAAACTGAATAATTATATGACAATCTTTTACAGTAATATTTGTACATAATTTCAGTCCATATATTCCTACAATTAGCTTGCTTAGACAATTATTTTCTATGTAAATTATAAAACTACTAAAAACAAAACTGTAACGAAACTAATGCCATCTAGCGGAAAAATCACAAAACACTTTGACAGGTGTCAACAATATTAGTTATAGATGTCAAATTTTCCCGCTCCCGTATGGACAGGCGCATAGACATGGAGTTAAAGAGGATAGGAGTACCGCTTCACATGGGAATCTGTGGAAATGAAATAAACTGAAAATGTGCATCCTATCACCAACCACCCCTAAACAGTCACTTAAACTGTCAAATACCAAGCGGTCACCGGTGACCGCAACCTATTGTTCTATAATTGTGTCTACAAAACCGGTACTCGACGAGTTAATTAAGAGTCCGCTAGCGCGAGAAAGCTCTTAAAATAACGCCTTACTTTGTTTTTAATAAATATACAGAGACATATTAAATTAACTAAAATCGCGGGTTACTCACGTGAATATCCTGAGAAAAGCTCTACTAGTTTCGAACCAGAGGGGTTCTTTCCTAGGAAGTGAGTAACCCGTGATTTTAGTTAACGCCTTACTTGTACTGTTAGGTGGCACTTGTAAGTTGGTGAAAAATAAATTGTCCTTACATGTCACTTAGATTAGGGGTTCCTTAAAATTTAGGCGAGGTTGGCGAAAAGAAGCGTTAATTATTTACTATGTAATTGAAAAATTTGATTTTCCTCGTAAACATGTGCAATATGAGACCCGTGTCTAGCTCGAAACCAGTCGAGCATAACGGAACAGTACAAGACGTAACATTATTTAAACTTAGCATGATTTCCATGAATTGTTAGTTATTAAACAAACATATTTACTATTGTAGCGGTTATTATTGGACATATTTCCACTTACAGACACAAGAATCCTTATCTTTATCCTCCATGACATTAAGTTATAATTTGAAACAGCTGAACACATACACAATCAACATTATTTGATATATTAAACAATAAATATTGAAATGAGTTTCAATTGCCGTTTAGTCTATCTTGCCAAGATAGGCAATCATAGAAATGGGTAGCTTGAAACTAGATGGATAGTTGCATGAGAAATCGCTGTACTCAGTCATTTAATGGCTACTTAAACCAGTCCTTAACAGGTAGAAGACAGGGTATGAAAATTAAAAATCTAATTAGTCCGTCAGTTAGATAATGAAAAATATTAGACACGTATTTTTTTTTATTTTGTCGTATAAAGTTACAATGCTTAGATAAAATGGCGTTAAGTTTAGGATTTGGAGGTCGTTACGTCACAATGTGCTATTTTGTAGCACGCTGTGACGTTACACGATATTTTAAAAATTAATATATCGTCTAAAGTATTTAATTTTGTGTAAAAAGAAAAATACGTATTTAATATCTTAAAATCTGTCAGACGGACTAAAATTTAGGATACTACCGTATAGTTTTTGAAATAAATTCTTTATTAACTCGTCGAGTACCGTCAATACAGACACAATTATAGAACAATAGGTTGCGGTCACCGGTGACCGCTTGGTGTTTGACAGTTTAAGGCAAAGTTTAAGTACTCATTAAATGTCGTCGACTACAGCAGTAAGTTGTGAACGACAAATAATTTAACGACTCATAAGTTTTAGTAAAAAATCAGTGTTGCTAACAAAAAATAAAAAAGTCATGAGATAATAATTTTAGATTTTTTTACAATACAAGGTGATACTTGACGTGTTATAGTTCAATTTATATATTTATAATTAATATTTTTTGTACACTATAATTGTATCTATAAAGGGGACGAGGGCTACATTCTGTATCAGTCTAATAGTTTTAAAGACTGACATAGGTCCGTATATACAATGAAACACCCACTTTTCACTATTTATGTTACGAGTCCCATTAATAGGAGTGTCAATGGCAATAATAAACACAATTACCATTAATTTAACTAAGAATTAAAAAAAATATCGTAAAACTCAGAAGATAATTGTACCCCAATATATTTTCTTCCTTAATTTAGGAAACAATAATGAATAATGAAAACAGTGTTCATCAAATTTATTTATTGGATTTTCGACTTTATGTCAATGCAATAACTTGAAGATGAAATAGAGAAATTTAAAAGTAAAGATAAGGTGGCAATCAGGTCACCTTATCTTTACTTTTGTTTCCTAAATTAAGGAAGAAAATATATTGGGGTACAATTATCTTCTGAGTTTTACGATATTTTTTTTTAATTCTTATTTAAATTACTGATAATTGTGTTTGTTATTGACATTGACACTCCTATTAATGGGACTCGTATAGCCTCTTGTCAGTTGAAAGTTGCGGGTATAATGTGTTTTATACCGGGAGCCGGTGTTTCAACAAATAAAAGGCTAGTAAAGAAAAACATTTTGAGAATGAACTTGTATTCCTACTAACACTACTAAATTTGTCTGTTTGTCTGTATGTTTCTTGCTCAATAACGTCAGAACGGCTGAAGGAATCGGAATAAAATTTTAACAGGGATAGATTATGGTCTGGAATAAATGTAGGCTACTTTTTATTCCAAGGAAACGCGGGCGAGGCTGCTGACAGAAGTTAGTTTATTAAAGCCTGAGATGGCTCATGCTGAGCTTATGGCGATCAAGGTCATATCTGAGTGAGATCTTTCTAAGGAAAAGGAAAATAAGCAGACGGATCACCTGATGATAAGCAATCAGCACACCAGAGGAGATAGAAGTGCACTGCAAGCCGTTTAAAAGAATCATTAGAATAATTTTTCTACGACAGATCACTTTTACAATATAATCTACTTCTTTACATGTCATATTATAACAGTCAGATAAAACTATGAATTTAAAAACCGTATAATCAACTATATTTTTATGTATATAAGGTCTATATTGGAACATCAAACGCATCAAGTATCACCGTTTCTAATTAATTTTAGAGTTAGATACACATGGAGTGTTTATAATTAAGTTTCTAATAACTTAAGAGATTTTGGACCACATAAGTTTATCGGGTACTTATATGGAGGTAGTAAAACAGGCAGTTATCGTTGATAGAGTAGGATTTACGTACCACAGCTTTCTGTAGAAGTATTTGTGTAATAAAATTAAGAATTACAAAATGAAGTTAATTTGTAACTAGATACAAGACACTAATGGTGGGAGAGTATTTAATGGAATATCTCCTGAAACACTAAAAAAAAGACAACGTCTGATTATGGCTGAATAGCTGATGGCAGAACGAAATAGTGTATAAAAAAATCTATAACTAGGTGCTATACACAATAATCTATGTAACATATTGACTATTATGATAATGTTAGATTCACAAAAAACCTTTTCAATTCAATCAAAACCACACAAGACTCCGTAAAATTAAGTGATTACAATTTCAATTACGAAATAACTGGAAATTTTTAACTATAAAATTTCTTGTTTTAGTAATAAATGCTATTTTAAAAGTAATAAACAAAATTTGAAATTCGGGTACCATTCATTGACGGTTGAGCGATGATACTATTACCAAAATAGCAAGATTCATATACAAATAGGTTTTTTCAAAAAAATCTTAACAATTATTTAACATTATCATTAATCTCATGCGTTATTAAGTGACTTTGTAACATACTGTCATCAAAATTTCTATTGCATTGCTTGAGAACAAAGGCATAGTAAAAATTTTCAATTTCAATAAGCAGAATTATTAACTTTGGTTTGACATTAATAACATTGTTCATTTTTGTTAAATTTTTTTGAAAAATCACCCTATTAAACTAAGATTCATTTAACGCTTACTTAGCCCATTCTGTAGCAATTGTTATCGAAACAAAATCATTACTAAGAAATAGTTTATGTAACTATTAAATATATGAGTACGGTAGTTAATTAAATATAGATATACATCAACAAATTACCTATATAGACACTCCATGTGTTAATATTCCGTGCACTTTGGTAAATAAATTTAATCTCCTTGACCAGCTGCTTGACGTAGTAAGACGTATATCTTTTCTTTGATCCAATCTTTGTTGTATGGTGCGTATGTGTTTGTTGATTTCTGATATACTAAACAACTTAGATCCGCCAACTGAAAGTAAAGTTATTGTGGGTTAGAATAAAAAAGATAGAAGATAGAGAAATACTTTAGTTTCTGATTCATGGAACAACTAATTGGGACGCTACAGTATTTTAAAAAAAATACCTTACTGTACTCATCTTAAATTTATCTTTGATTATTTAAATGTAAGTTGTTTTTATAATTTATTAGTATTTTTAATTTACTATAATTTGTATAATAATTGGACTATTGTTACATCTTTTGGAAAAAATTTTCAATGTTTAACTCGTCGAGCACCGTCATTGTAGACACAATTAAAGAACAATAGGTTGCGGTCACCGGTGACCTCGCAGTGTTTGACAGTTTAATTAACAATTTTATTTATTTATGGGTCACAACTCTACATCAACTACCATATAGGTCAGTTGAAGGAGTCCTGTATTTTCAAACCACTCAAAAATACTTTATCATACTCAGGAATCAGGGCCTACAGGATGGCAAGTAAGTAACATATTACAGGCCTCAAGCTGGAACCGCCGCATTCAGACGTTTTTATCTAAACCTTTTTTATGAGACAGAAGTCAATCTGATGAACTTGGCATGGGCCCAGAACGGTATTGTTATTCCACTGTCAGGAATCCCCCTTGTTTTTTTTTTTATTTGAAGGACCAACATTTAACTGCTATCTCGCCTGCAGCTGTAGCCAAATGCCATTTAGCGCTGGTCTACATGTAGAATAGAAAATCAAATTATATAGAATTGACGTAAAGTTTTATACTTGCAGCGTCATCCCCATACATGTAGTTTTCTACTCTCTCTGTAGATAAGCGCTAAAGTGGCGTTTGGCTAAAGGCACGGGTGGTAAGCAATGATGCATTTTTCGATAGAGCATGTCACTTGACAGTGACATGGTATTAAAAATGGCATAATTAATTTCTGATTTGCTAATTTATTTACCTATTTACAAGTAGTACTAACTTATAATTAACTATTTGTTTCATCCATTAAAAGATAAGAAGGAACATAATAAAAGATTACGATCAAGATTTTGAAAAACACCACTTTCTGTTTTACCTAATAATTTTAAGTGAAAAAATGTGTTTGTTATAACTTCCTACTTCTTACCTTGACTGCCAACAGAAAACATGAAGGCAAAGGTCTATGTGGCAGTTACCATGTTATATTTCACGTGGTCGGAGTATGGAATAAGCTGCCAGAATATGTAATTGCTGCACGGAATGTTAACCAGTTCATACACAACATTGAATTAACCACTGATAGAAAAATACGATACAGGCATTTATCAGTTGTTTCAACTGCCTGTCTGATTTAAATAAATATTAACATGTTAACCGCCACGTGGGTCACTATCACTAGTAACCCATGGTTATCGGAGGATTTAAATCCAACAGTTTGCTGTCAACAGTCAATGGTTTGAAAGTAAAAAATTAGTTTGTATCAACACGAACAGCCCACGGCAGTCCACTATAGACTATAGGCCTCCTCTACATGAGAGATAGACATCATCTCTCATCTATTATACTTGGCAAGGGGTTTATATAGATAGCAGTTTAAAAGGTCAGGCTTATTAATGCTGCTGTCTGGTCTCTGTCAAATGTCTTAGTCAACTCTCATGATAGAACATAAATTTTCTACCACCCATAACCATGACCGTCTAGTATGTGGTAGTCAATCTAGTGTTTAACCCGTTGTGTACTGGAATGCAGATCCACGCATGATACAATATATATTCTATTGCAGCAGTCAAGAGGTTAATGTTCATTCTTTCTCCATGTGAAAAGCAGCTTTTACTTAGCAATGCGACAGTTTGAAGATGATATAATGATAATACCATGACTATCGCCATGAATAAAAGATAGGTTTTACAAATCATAGCGAAACCTGAACCTCTTGAAACTTGATACTTCTCAACAGCCTTGCATCAGCACTTATGAAGCTCTTTACCATGAACTTACAACATTGGAGTGTTTTAAGTTATTGTGATTATGTATGTGGTATTTTTACACGTTTTATAATAATTTTAATATCGTAAATAACTTACCTGGTCGATAAAATCGAAGAGTTGCGATATATCGTAAGTAATGGTTGGCGTATTTGGGTTTCTTCTCTTTAAATGTTCTTCATATATTTTACATACTCCTTCCATACAGTCGTTGACGCTCTCGTAGTCAGAATACGTCCTGGTTTCCGGCCTCGGGCCCGGTTGTACCAACAAAATTGTGTGGGACTGAAAAAATAACCTAAATATTACCCGCCATTTTCATCAGCTAAATACAGTGCAAATATAAGTTTACTTACCATGTTTAATGTATTTATGGCAAGTTAGGGAATCTTGCGTGTGTTTTAATTCGTATTTAGTGTTAAATACTCTTTTATCGGTATTTTTCCAAGATTACAAACGCCGTAACGAAGCTTCTTGATGCTCGTTCTGAAATGAGATTCGTACAGATTATAAATTTAGAAAAGAGAAATGAGTGAAAAATTTTAAAGAATTTTTTAAATGCTTGAAATATAGTAAACATTTGAATAGTTAAAGTATAAATATGTAGGATCAGGGTCCGACATTATTTGAAAATAAAACAAAGAGCTTCACACAATCACTTAGTTTATTTCGATTAAATGAACTTACTTTCACATTAATTTTTAATTATAATAATTGAATAATTCAGCACTGATTATATAAAGGAAACACTCCAATAAAACCAACAATAAAATTACTCAGCGATTGCGTAACGTGTGAACTGGGCAACGATCGACGAACGACTGACTCGAGCTTGCGCTTGCGCTGCTTTATATATCACTCGGTGGTGGGGTTGAAGTGACGTCGGTCAGTTGTTTGTTCACTGCTCGCCCATTACATTCGCAGTTTACAAAATAATGACGGCGGCGCCGACACGGCCATACTGACGTACGCTCGTCCTCGAGCGTTTTCCGAGCATCTGGGAATAAGATAACAACCCGTTCGATCATCCTGGCATTTCTAATCTCTATCTAGTATAACCTTTAACAAAAGCTTTCAATATTGTGCGGGTTCGGTTAACCCTTCAGCTTACCACAACTACTACGTTATCATCACTCATCAGTATTAGAACTGGAGACGATTGTGCTAGGCCGGATAAATATCCCTTTAGCGCATGCTAGACTGGACATCAGTCCCTTTAGCGAATGCTAGACTGGACATCAGTCCCTTTAGCGAATGCTAGACTGGACATCAGTCCCTTTAGCGAATGCTAGACTGGACATCAGTCCCTTTAGCGAATGCTAGACTGGACATCAGTCCCTTTAGCGAATGCTAGACTGGACATCAGTCCCTTTAGCGAATGCTAGACT